GAGCTCTTAGTTAGGTTTTCCACTGGGCATGTGTCTGCTACTGCTTCTCCCAAGGGTCTGAAGGTTCACATGGTTGCTGATTGGTACCAGATTCATACTGCACACATGTGAAACTTGGTCTCTTTTGACAGCTGCAGGTTTTCGGGGAGGGACCTACAGGAAACCATGGAAACAGAGTCTTTATAAAGACAGTATCCCAAACTCTGCAGTGTAAAATGGGCACTAGGAGGATGACTTTGGTCTATTGCTTATGAATGTACTCATCCTGCATATAATTTGAGCAATGGTGCTACCAGGTTTAATCTAGGGGTGAATTTAACCTACATTGTGTCTGTATGATGTTCAAAACTGGCAGGCTTCCAGAATTGCTTGTAGCTCAGCCTTTCTTATGCAAACCAAGTTTCTTTTAAATGTATATATATGTATGAAAATGAATCAGCCTTTGGTGCAAGGGTAGTATGCTATAAATTTCTGAAAGTCTACCAATTTACTTCAAAAATTAATGAAAAGATATTTTCATCTATTTTGTAACATGAAAAAATCTCTGAAGAGCATAAGCCTTATGAACATCTGTAATAAATTTTTCTTTTTTTTATTTTGTAGCACTTGTACAACTCTGCAGCATTCAAGGCTCGGACAAAGGCTAGAAGTAAATGTCGTGATAAAAGAGCAGATGTGGGGGAATTTTTCTAGATCTCATTTTCAATGGAGTTCAATTTTCATAAGTAAAATAAATTTGTAACATTTAAATGAATTTTTAACTTCTGTAGTCATAGTTTGCACTTGTGCACAAGGATGTTATGTAAAATCTGTAAATATAATAATGCATGTTGTTGCTTCATTGCATATACACTGTATATATATTGATGTAACATTTGGAGCAGGGATACATTATATCATTTGCATTAGCCACCAGTTGCTCCAAAGGTTGAATATATTTTAACTGAAATGTTAAATGGGGTGGATAACTGTAGTCAGATTGGATTCTTCATATAAAGGTAAATTACTTTATGGATCAAGTGTTTTGGTAAGAATGTGCTAATATGAAAAGATAACCATATTTGTGTGAAATTGAGTAACTTTTTAACTCTTCAATGGCAGGTGGACAAAGAAATTTTTATGTTTCTATGACTTTTTATCCTGACAGGGACTATGAAGTTTAATAACCTCTACTGACAGACAAGTAGCGAATGACAAATACTTGCCTCAATTTAAAACAAAAGCAAGATTTTTGTGTTCTGAAATTGGATATTTAATTTTTGCAATAAAGATGTTTCTGACTGGTTGCGCTCTGTGTAAAAGTGATTATTTCATGATTGAAAAACTGTAACAACAGCAAAACCTAAAGGCTGAAACAGATGGGTTTGGTTTTTTGCCCATTCAGACGTGGTTGTGTTAGTCTCAGAGGTTTAGTAGATGCTACATGACGGTCTTTCTTGCTGTGTTTCAAAGGTGTATCTTACTTGCATGTGGTCTTGCACAACAACCTAATCCTCATTTGTCACTGTTTTTGTAATAGTCAAATGTTTTCTAGTTCTGGTGTTGCAAAAGACCTCGTCCCTTATCTTACAGGAGGCCCTTCCAGCTCCCCTGTGTTTGTAATGTTGAAAGCTATTCCTCTACTACATTCTCAAAATGGTAGGTCAGGCTATCAGCAGAGGAAGTAAACCTTGCATCAAAAAACCTCACCAGCCCCTGAGAACTGCTGCTTGCTCTGATAAGGGAAAGTTTGGTTTGGGGTGGGGTGGTTTGTTGGTTAGTTGGTTGGTTTTGGGTTTGTTTTTTTTCAGGGGGGTTTGGTTTTTTTTGTTTGTTTGTCCCCCCTCCTTCAAGTTTCTGGTTACAGCAGAACCTATTCCAGAATAGGAATTTATGTAGACAAATGAGTTTTACCTTCTAAGTTATCCTTTTTTCCCCTCAAATAATCAATTATGTAACAACTTGCTGGGCTTATAAAACTGATCACTGACTCCAAATCAAGGTCTTCAACTGAAATCTGCAGTATGATGAACATGTGTTGTCAGTGTCACACAAGTGAAGAAGAAACTTCTGATCCTTGAACTAGAAGCAGCTGTCTGCTTGTGTGTGCCCAGACCAAGTCTGTCCCCTTTGAGTTAAACTGTTCCCTGGCCTCTCTTGTGGCTTCTGGGTAGTCACCTTTGGCATCCTTTGCCCATGTAAAGGAACACATTTGATAGTTTCCTGTCCAGTATTTCTACAGCACTTCCTGGCAGGTGGCCAAGCATGTGGTTGCCCTTTCCCCTGTTACACGGTAGCTGCCAACCATAGCGACCAGGATGGCTTCCAGGAGATGTTGGAGGAAAGACGGGCTGTTTTGCTGCCCTGCAGAGATTGGATGGGTTTGTAGACCTTTTCAAGCTTAAAACTGGAGAGGCCTGGGTCCTTGTCTTACAGTTATGTTGGTGTCAGGACTCTTTTGGAAATGGAAGTGAGGGGGTTTTTTTCTGGCTTGCAGATCCTTATTTAGAGGAAGGACTTCTCTGAGACTCCCACAGAAAAGTAGTGAGCTGTTACATCTGTGTTGCTGGCCCAACTACTCAGACTGGGCAGTGGCAGAGCTTCACAGAGGAGCTATAAGTCAGGTTTATTCTCTCGGTTTCCTGAAAGATGTGTTTATTGTCAGTTTAAAGGAGTTCAGAATTTTAGACATAGAATGGCTTCAGAAAGGATTTATTATTTTGAGCTGCAGTCCCTCTGTGTAAGCATCAGCTGCCTGTCAGTGCAGCATGCTGTAACATTACCTTCTGCAACATCAGCAAGGAAAAAAGTGATCAAAAGAACTGTTGGCAAAGGAGCAATTACAGTACTCACCAACAGTTCCTCAGAATTTAATCTCTAAACAACTAAGGATGGCATATAAATTAGTCTACCCCGTGATAATGTCCCACTTGAATTTGTAAGGCATATGGGAGAAGGAGGGAAAGACCTTGGTTTTTCTAGTATATGCCTTTAAAATACTCATGACTACAATACTGTAGATATGACTTCTGCATAGCAAACTGGTTGCTCATAGCTACAGTGTCATAGATATGACTCTTCTGCATAGCAAATGAGTTTTAAACAGGCATTAAACCTAAAAGGTTTGGCACTAACCGAAAGGTCAGTGAAATATTGATCATTAGTAACAAACCTCATTCTCCATGACAGGGTATTATCATGACTCCAATATAATAAAAAAAGAGCTGTGTATGTGCTGATTTCTTTTTTAGCAGTTCTATATTGTGAAGTCAGTACACTTAGCCAAGTTGAATGCTAAATATAGACTGAAAGGGGCAGTCTGTTTCATAGCTGTCTTTATGGGTCCTGCAGGACTCAACAGGTTCCTATGGGTCTAAAAGTAGAGAGAAGAACTGCAGAACAAGTTTTCTTCATGTGATTTTCACTGGCTGATTTCTTCCATACTGGCACATTAACTGAATATAATTATGTCGTAAGTAATGTTTCATTCTGCTAGTTTTTAACCTTTTAGATTTTATTTTTTTTCTGTGAAGAATTTTCAGTGTGTTCTCATTCTACGTTCTAATTTTACCACAACAGCTTAAAAAGAAATTTAAAAGTCAGACTGGAGAAAAAGTCTTTAAGTACAAGATAAAGTGAATCTCAAAACCTCAGTGTTTACATTAGTTTGTTGGGAAAATAATCAATACTTTTGGCCAGTGACACTGATGTATGTATCCTTTCTCCTTTTTTGTCATGTCAATGGAATCAAACAAATCTAGTATAAACTTTGTTGCATTAATAATGGTTATCTTCCCTGTGGTTACATGCACAAATGCTTAAAAATTAACAGTAAATGCAGAAACATATAATTCGTACCACTAATGAATCTTATTACAGCTCAAGTTGTTAAGAAGAGTCTTCCCTGAAGTTGCAGGGAGGTACTAATCAAAATACCCAAGAGAAACAACTGCTCTTCAGAGGCTAAAAATAACCAAAAGCCTTTGTGCACAGGGTGGTAACTTTCAGCATGCTGTTCAAATGCAGGGTTCCGTAGTGATTGCAGTTGGCTACGGATGTGCACGCGGGGAGAGAGCAGAGCAGAGCCAGTGCTGGGGGGAACGTGGTTCACAGACTCTGCTGCCTGGCACCACGTAATGTTCTAGAGGAAGGACAGTGGACACAGCCATCTGTCCTGAAGTTACTGCTGCACACCTAAACGTCATATGCTAGGTAAGGCTAACCCCTACTATGCCAGCTTTTCTATCTTTTCTTTATATTTTGAAGCAACAGGTCTGAACAGAGTAAAAAAATAAGCTGTAATCTTTTCTTACATGCTATTAAACAGAAATATGAAAGTAGCCATGTAGTCCTGTCAACCTCCACTAGCAGAAGAACAAGCCCTGTTGTCAAGAGTGCTTTAAGTGCTTAGTCTTCAGACTTATTGAGGCAAACACTCAGGGCTTTATTTCTCAGAGTTTAGGTTTTTAATTTAAGTGCTATATTAGAAATCTGGTCACACTGTGTTCTGTATTGTTCGGAGAAGGAAAGAAAGGTCAGAAGCACATCAGGAGGGCAGTTCAACCCATCTAGGATTCAGAAATCACCCTTAGGTGCTTAACAGCCTTCATCAATAAGAGGTTTGCATCCCATGAAGTGCTGATTTATGTTGGCAGGTAAAACTGAACCTGGGAGCTTTGATAAAATACTAAATGGTAAGATGTATTCTACTCCAAATCTAAACTAATCTCTGTGAGCTCCCCCCTTACATTCACTGGAAGAAAAAGGTACATTTAGGCTGCAATTCTAAGTTCAGAAAGATGTATCTTAGAATAAGAGGAATATTACCTGGAGGAATATATTTTTCTTCAATAATTACAGAGGGAGTTTTCAGTGACAAGTGTAGTCAAACCTGCCTACTTAGAGCATCTGCATCTCCTTATGGCTAGAACTGTTGTTTGTTTCTAGGAGGCATTTTTGGAATCAGAGTTGCATAAAGAAAACCAAAAGACTGATAAGGAATAATGTGCAATTCACAGAGGAGCCTCCTTAGGTATTGCTTCTTTTCTATATATATTATTCCTTCAAAACTGTATTTATATAAAAAATCATTCACTGAGTTCATGCACCCAGACTCTACAGAGAAACTGTTTTTGCAGTTTGGGCCTCATCCAGTGCTTTTTTTAAAACAAGGAGTATTAGTCTGAAGAAAAGGCTTTGCCATCAACCTTTACTTTGTCCAGAATTTGTCCAGTTTAGAAGACTAATTTTTGTTCCATTTTTCACAAATAATAACTTCAAAGTATTATTCTAAGGTGTATAAGCAGACAGATATTCTTGCTGCTTATCTCGTATACCCATACCTGATTTCTCTGTCTTATCTTTAAATTATTTGATGCTGAAAGCAGAGGACCTGAGTGACATCCTTCCTGTCAGTGAAGGTTTGTCTTTCACTGTTGTCAGAATCTCACCCTACCTCTTACCTCACCAAACCAAAGGGTTATACAACTGAGTGAGTACCATTCAAAGCAATGCTGGAGCCAATCAGGCTGATTTTTCTCTCTCTTTCCCCACACACATGCATATGTGTATGTATGCATAAGTATACACATGTGCACAAGCACAATGTAGAAATTAAATGCTATATTCATCAAAGATCTCCAAGAGTAAACAAGTGCTATGTACTGAGTTATCCTTACCTTCAAGTAAGTGTGCTGGTCCTTCAAATTCTTTTATTTTAAGGGTTGTTTAGGCTGCTCAGTGTTTCCTTAGAACAGGACACCACCTGTTACCAGTTATTTCCCATATCCATGTGTTAAATTACCTTTTAAATTATTTACCTTAGATACAATGGAGAGGCCTTCCTTGGAAATTAACCTGCCTGATACGCATGAAGAAGGAAAGCTTTATGTAGTTGATTCCTTAAACAACCTAAACAAGCTAAACGTTTGTCCAGATGAATCCCAGCATTCACTAGGTAGGTATGATAGGTTATGCTCTATGGTTTTCCATGTACACGACCCACATTATGTGTCACTGATGACAACAGGCCAATATGTATGTCAAGCTCTTTACTGAAAAAAATGTAAGAAAAAGATTGAAAATGGCCTAATTTAGACAGATCAGATAATGATTTAGCTATCCCTGCTGACTATTTAAGTTATTAGGTTCTTGAAAATCCTTGCATTTTGCTAGGGATTCACTGTCAAGCCTGAACTTATTTTCCATCTCCACTGGGGTTTATGAGGTGATCCCTTGCAGGATAATGTCTCTAGTAATGCTCAACATACACCTACTACATAAATAGCATTGTAACTCTTTCCAAGCACTAAAATTCACACATGGGAATAGAAGTACCAGAGAATTTCTGTTCATTTCTTTAAGACACATCTCCTAGAGACTCAGACCAGTTATCTGAAATATCCCATGACACTTTTAAGCATTTTACTTCACGGACTTTCTTTACTTACAGTTTCAGATATGGCTCCTACACTTCTACTGGTTTAATATTATTTATTAAATTAATTAACAAGAATATTTTTACTCGTGATAACTACAATATATTTCAGTTCTTTGTGACCTGAAAATATCTTAAAACCTGGAGCTCTTCAGCAGCATTCCACATAACAATATTTGAATCTGCTTTTATTTCCCTTATTATAATGGCAAATTTGGCTGAAGAAATCTAGAGATCAACAACTATGAAATTAGTTTCAAATGGCCATAACTTAATCATGCTTCTTGTTATGGGACTTAAATGCCTTCTCCTTACATCTGTTTCCAAGTCCTCTATATTTTCCTAATGCAACTAGGTTGCATTAGGTGTTGGTTTCTGCATTTAACGCAAATATGTTAGACATAAAGTACTTAATTCTCATATGCAGATTATCTTGATATTGACACTCTGTAAGTAAAAAATGAGACAATGGCATACCTTGGTTTTAATGTCAAAGAAACTCCTTTTGGTCTAACTGTTTCACTCTCTTTTGCAATTTTTATTAGACAGTATTGTTTCCTTTTCAGGTAAATATACAAGGTTCACCAATTCCACACAACACTGCAGTCTGGGATGTTCAGCCTGATGAAATAGAAAGAAGCACTCATTAGGCGGAGCTTAGACCATTTTTGAGACCTCTATTGATAGCTTAGTATGCTTGACAGGCAGCAGTAGCAGGCCCCACCCGTTCTTATTCTGATTAGAAAGCAATATTGGTGCAGGCACTTACTATATGGTGCATTTGTTATGAATGCTAAAGGAATAACAATAGAACCTCAAAACCCAAATATGAAAACATTCCAGCTTACTCAGAGGCAGGAGTGTGTTAAACACAATACAGAAAATTAGAGATCTACTAGCTCAGTGGATTGCTCAGCCCCAGGTTGGGTCATTATTATAGTGCTGTAATGGCATATGCAACCTTCCCTCAGTTTTATTGCTACAGGCTCAGTTGCAAAGACCTCAGAGATTTCCACCAGCTGAAACAAGTACACAGTTTAGAAATATATTTTTCACAGATGCACATGCTATTCTCCCTTTCAGAAGACAGCGATTACAGGAGGATAAATTATAGTATTTTGCATGTAATTTTAGTATATATGAGACTGACATGAAAATGAAATTCCATTAGCTTCCTCCTCCCCCCAAACAGAAGATAAAACTAAATCTTAGTAAGTAGTTACAGTAGTATGTAAACTTGACATTAAATGAATCTATCTCAAGTATACAATTTTTATATTCACATGAATTTCCACATGGTATTCACTTGTTATCTTTGGGCTTTATTGCCACCTCACATTTGATTGCAACTGTTTCTATGAGAGAAACTACTTACTTTCCCTATACACAACATGTTCTTTAAATAGCAATAAACTGGCTTGTCGAGCTCATTTGAGGGCACCATTGCAGCTACTTTTCCTTTTTTTCCCCTCATTCTTCCCATGCTTAAAGGACGACATATGTATTCCATATGAAAGTCTGTTCAATTCTTGGCAACTGGGAGAATAGGTACCTCATTACTTACTGGAATGAAACCAACAAATCCTAAAGACAGTCAAGACCTACATTTATCCTATCCAACATCAGGAGCTTAACTGAGGTGCTTAGTTTGGGAGATTAATCATCCCAGATATACTTCTATCATCAAAGAGAAAAAGAAGCAAATCTAGAGGATGAATGTGTAGGATGAATCCATTCCTTGGTTTTCAATATGAATTTTTCTCTCTTCTCTTCTGAAAAGATTAAGTCCATTCAAGCCCTTAGAAAGCCTTCGGATAGAAACTTCATTGCAGCCTTTGTACATGTAAAACAGCTGTAAAACTCTGAACCATAAAACAGGTCAACTTCAACAAAACAGTGTATTTCATCAACAGAAATATTTTTCTTGAATATGTTCTAGCAGCTATAACAGATGTATTAGTTTTTATATTTCCAAATTCAAGATGAGTACATAAAGTTGGTTTCTTTCCTTCTCATGCAATATCACGAAATAAAATCTGTTGGCCAAAATTATAATGTATTCTGCATCATTTCATGAAGCCAGAAGCATTTTGTCATGTTTATCTTAACCAACCTTAGCAAACTTTATCACCAAATGATTTGTCATCTCTTAACAGATGAGGAGGAGAACGCTGGTGGCACTGGAGAAAACATGGCAGGGAGCAACACAGGAAATCAGTGTTTGTTCTTCATCACTTTTATTCTTACTTTGATCATCAGTTTGGCACTTGTTTCATTTGTAATATTCTTAATAAGTAAGTAAACCAAAGACTGGTTCTTAAAAATGTAGGGCCAATGGGAAAAAGAACTTTGATGATACGTGTCATGCCACCTTATGACATGCTACTGCTGTATTTGCATGGTCAAAGGCTTTGGCTGCTTATGGGCAGTGGGTCCTGGTCCTGGGGGCAGAAGCCAGGCAAACAACTCACTCTCTGAGCTAAAAGGCACAATTTTATTCTTCAACAGCTGTGAAGAATTTAGATCAGGGGGCTTATACTGTGTTGCTAAAAATGCTGACTGGAAATGAAATTTAAATTTAAAGGTGATTGTATGGCAGTGAGGTACTTCGACAATGTGCCTTTCACTCCTTTACAGATAAAACTCAGTATTGGTGTCATTCCACTGAAACTGGAATTACACTCAGAGTAACACTTAAATCAGGCTACCTGAAGGAGGACCTGAGGGTTGTCATCTAAGTACTGATTGGAAGTTTGTTTGGAACTAAGAAAATCTCAACGATAAGGAAAAAAAAATTAGATAACATATATGAAGATTTGCACGTAATATTGAGCCTGTAGACATCATTACTGTTCCACTTTGTTAGGACTGATCGGGTGGGCTTAGCGAAACACATGGCTGCAAGTGAATATGGTTTATGGAGCCCTTGTCATCATGGGGCTTTCTGAGTAATAGTATTGAACAGAATATGAGGTGCATTATTTTAATTTAAAAATCTATTTTTTATGAATTGGAATCCATGCAAAATCAAGATTTCTTATATCCTGTAGTGGGGAATTTACTGGAACATAGCAAAAATCTTAATTTTCCTTTTTGAACAGGAAATTCTAATGCTAACTAAATTTTCTTACAAGCACTCAAAGAATGGAATATAGGACAAGTAAAGAATGCAAAGTAGATTTTAAGTGACGTGATTGTAAAATCCTAACTGAAATACCTTATACTTGAATTTCAGATTTATTTAATAGGGAGCTGCCTGAAGTAGAGCCCTGGTATAGAAAAATTAGTAATGTGCTACTCTAGTAAAAGAATGATAAAGTAACAGTGAAAAGCCTTCTTACAGGAATCAAAGCACTTTGCTTGGGCTCAGGTTGGTGGAGGCCTGTGGTTTTTGAAACTGATTTCCATAACATATATATGTTATGTTGTATAATCTGAGATTACGTTTGCAATCCACATACATAGATTCATTTAGCGTTGACACTATTAGACTTAAGCTTCAAAACCCATGGGTAAATTCTGTTAACTTCAGAAGGCCAAAACAAAAATAGCTCTGGCACATTTGTTTGCTAGAGGAGGCTGGCCTCCAAATGCCAATCCTTGCAAGAATTTTCCTTTAATTTAAAAGATTAAGAAATCCAGTGATGTGGCTGTAGTTTGCTTTGCTTTTTTTTTTTTTTTTTGCTCCTGTGATACAATTAGTGCCGTAATTGTACTTTTAGAGAACTACATGCACATACTGACCACAAATAGGATCTTGGAGCTCCTAAATAAGATGTCTTCCTGGGGAAACTAATGGAATAGATATGCTCCTGAAGACTGCAGAATTATCTGAGCCATAGTTTATTTTATTACACTGCACTAAAGTAAAAAAACCCCAAAACAAAAAATAAACAATTAAAGAATGTAGTGAGCAGGTAAACCTATCAAATGTATAACTTCTTATCATTAGGTTCTGCAGTTGTTTTCCTGGTTAATATTTTTGTTCACCATAATTCCCTACAAACTCTCACAGGAATGCAAGTGAGGGTAGTGATGCTCTTGACTTAAATGTTACCAATTTAATGTGGTACATTTTCCTTTTCAAGTTCAAACTAGAAACAAGATGGACCAAATATCAAGCAGACTACTATCTGAAAAGAAGAACATAGAAGAGCTGAAGAAAATTAACAATATTTTATTAAAGCATCTAAATCAATCAGGAATTAAGGATAAGTCTTCTGATCTTCATGATTACCTATTAACCCACGCTGAACTCAAAGTCCCTGGAGAATAGATTTTCTTTGGAATGAAATTTAACATATTCATGACTCAGATATTTTTACGTATGTCACACAGGTTGCTTAAACATTCTGATATGGTCACCGGAGCATTGGAAAAGCCAACTGAATGAAAAATATTAGAAAATAATATTTTATCCTGGTTTATTTGGACGTAGATTTTTAAAACTAAGCCCATAGGAGTCACAATAAACAACAGATTGTCAACAATTTGGGGCAAGAGTTCTGGATTCCTCGCGTATTGTAAATTGCAGGGGTAAGGGCCTAGTTTTACTTTAAATGTAAGTGAATGATTACAGAAAATCATGATTTCTATTCACATGATTCCAGCATGACCTTGTTCACTTAATCATTCTCCTGTTTCTTTGGTACAAGTTTTGTGTTTATTTTAATATTATTTGTATTTAAGGATAACTTTGGATTTCATAACTTATAAATAAATTCATTTCTGCCATAGAGCTCCATGGTTTTCCTTTCTGTCCATTTAAATACACTGACTTACTACTCTTTTTGTGGAAAACCTCTAAACTGGAATAAAGCAAACCCTTTCATAACATGCAATATTCAGCCCAAAATTGACTGAGTGGGTGTCCTATTGTCTTACATGAAAAATGGGTTTAGAGGACTCAGTCTGTTAATTTCATAACATCATCATAGCAAACCCATCTCATAGCAATGCTAATATGCTGTACTTGCAATCTGAGGGAAGTTTCTGGGTGAAGGCCAAGTCTTTTTATGAAGTTATGTGGGAAAAATGCTACATGTTCTTGTATTCTTCCCTATACTTGCTGTTGGCCACTATCAGAGAAGGACCAGGTGAAATATGGTCGGAACCTTCATGGTTTTAAAGTGGAGCAATACCTCAGAGGGTGAAAGGAGCCGACACTTTCTCACTCTGAATTTACACAGTTGTGGAGACCAATATCTGAAAGTGTGAACCCATAAGAGACTGGTGCTTTGTCATTTTAGTATTCAGAACCTGCTACTGGAACATACATTATGAAGGCACCTCCAATATCAATAAATAAATTGGTTACTCCCATCATGACGGTGTGATGGCAGCTGACACTATGGAATATGTCCAACACCTTTTCTTTTAGTTTGAGTTCTTCTTCTCATCCAATTCTTTCTTATCTCTTCTGGACAATTTTACAAAAAAATTCACCGAAGTCAACAGCTTGCACTGCAGTCTCCTTTTCCAGAATGAATGACAGTCCTTTCTGTGATGACTATTTCATTGTCTACAACAGAGTGAAGAACTCAGTCCAGGAGACTTTTGTGGTATCACTCTACTTGGATTTGCCCAGCAATTCTTTTCCTTTTATTAGGAGGGCTTTGCTTTACACCTATGTTTTACATCATCTTCTTTCATTTTCCTGGTGTATTACTGTCAAATTATTCACATGAAAACCATGAAGTTCCATTTTAAGAGTTTATTACTCCTGCTTTTAATTCACAGCTGTAGTTGTAATTATCTCCTCTAGACGCCTCAAATAGTTTTTATAAAGATGACTCAAATATAGCTACCAGGGAATGATAAAAATGATGTAGAAAAGTTGTAAGGAATATCTTTCTGTAAATGCTGTTAAATGACAAAAGAAACACTATCTTAAGACTAAAAACATGACACTTGTAGTGTTGCTTCTCTGTTCTTCTCTGAGCTGTAACCTGCTTTTTAGTGACAGTACTAAGTTCTCATCTCTCCCACTCACATTGTAGCTACTGCAACTGCTCTCAAGTTCCTGCCTTGTACAGAGGAATTGATAGAACATTCACCCCCCTCCACCCATATCTTTAAATTGTAGTATTCTTGTTAATCTGTCAGGAAAATAAGAACATGAACATGTAATGGACCAAATGTGCCTTTTGGCACAGATATGCACACATATCTGTACCTGTGATCCAGGGAGAAACAACTCCAGTATTTGGCACTCAGTGGCAATCTCAAACACATGGATTTCACCCTCATTTCCACTGCAGCTATCAGAGCAGTCTGTGTGGTCAAACAGAAACTGATACCAAGAGCCAATAGATTCTTTTTCTGGCAGGAGACTGTAAATAAAACGTGTCCTAGAGCAACAGCCCCCCAAGAAATGAAAGTTTCCTCATCTCTCTGATCTTGTCCTCAATTACTCTTAACATGGTTGTTCAATCAGTACTCATAATAAATCCACTTTTTCTGTCTCTGTTATTGATTAAAAGTGTTGGGTTTTTTTTCACTCCATGGTTTGATCCTCCAAGATGCTGAGTGCCCTCAACTGTGACCAGCTGGGGCATAACAATGTACAGGCATGCTCAGTATCATACAGGACTGACACCCCAGATCAACCTTTTCATATTTAATTGCTTCTTTGCTTGCAGTGATCAGCAACCGAGATCAGTGACTGAAAAAGTGCAAAGGTCCAAGGCTCATCCTGTTAGTGCTGCTGAAACACAGTTGTTGTTGGATACACTTGCAGTCAAGGAAGACATGGGGCAGCACTGCTCACAGCTGCTTATGGCTTCTCAGATCAAGTAACCAGTACCCATTCACAGTCAGAACTGCTTCTATATGAGGGTTCAGATGGCTGCCTTGACAGCAGAGTACCACAATCCCTCCATCAACACTTTCTGGAGTACCCCCTAAGCGGAAACAAGTAGTGGCTCCTTTAGGGGAACATTTCTTTCTGATCTACTGGCAGTGAAGTAGTCCCAAACAAACCAATACTGGACCTTTAAAATCTTTTACAAACTTGACCCTGAAGTGAATTTCAGCTCATTCTAGAGCCCCATAATTCATCTTGAATAAACAGCTAAGTGACTAGTGAACTCCAAGCTCCAACTGCATAACCACTGTGCTGTATACAGATGTTACAATGTCTCCTGCAGACATGGGTAAGATCTCTGTTCTCGTATGGCTGCACATCTCAAGAACCTTTGCCATGTCTGGTATTACAACCACGAACAGGAGGAAGACGATCTGACAGTAACAGCTTCATCTTACAATAGTCACAATTGTTGTCCTCGATAGTACTGCTTCTTTCCTTTTTCTCTTATTTGCAGCCTGTAGAGGTATCTACACAGAGTGATTTGCCTTTTAGTATTTCTCTTAGTCCACTGCAAATGAAAAGGGTGCACAGAGGGTTCAGATAGATTTAATAACGTGCCACTGACGCTCATGTGCTGCAAGTACTATCACTGCTGAAATGACAACATGGTTTCAGGAAATTTTCTGCTGAATAAACCTGGACAGTAGTAGAGAAATGCTGGTAAGCAAAGATAAACACTTAGAAGACTTAACCAAGAAAATACCTCCAGCTTCCATCAAAGGCATCATCATGCCAGTCCCTGAAGTGTTGGCTGAATCTTTAGGTGGCTGGGTAGCATCAACAGACAAAATACTTTCTTCCCCTGGTTAGCTTGCTGAGAAATTCATTCCTTTGTTCCAGACATCCACAACAGTCCACGTTCTTGTTAACCTCAAACCATCAGACAGTATCTGACTACGTGAAACTAAATGTGGGGAGACTATACAGTACTAAATAGGAGAGGGTTGGCTAGTGCAGACATTTGCTTGCCTTCCTTGGGGTCATGTTACCTTAGATTGCAGCCTTGTGCTAGTGGGATTAAGAGGAACATTCTTTTCAATTAAGGAAAAAAAGGCACATTTGGTCCATTACGTGTTAATGTTCTTATTTTCCTGACAGATTAACAAGAATACTACGATTTAAAGAGAGGGGTGGAGGGGGGGGGTGAATGTTCTATCAATTCCTCTGAGATTCATGAGAAATAGTAACACTAAGGCCAAAGAAGTTAGTCCTATTCAAGAACTCAATCAATCTTAGAATTCAAGAAAAGGCTTTTACAGACTCTGCTTCCGATCCTTTTTCTGGTTTCTGGGCCGCACTTCAGCAATCAAAATGCTATCCACGATTCACTGACGAGCCAGCAAAACCTCTGAATGGTAATGAGAACTTTCTAGTAGAAACAGTCACAGCACAGTGCTGCTGCTAATTTATCACTTTGAGGCAAACCACATTACACACAACGGTGAAAGGACAATTTAAAAATCGATTGCCTGACAATTTGAATATCTATTAATAATTATGGGTTTGCTTTTTGAGCTCTGCACTGCTCATTTAATCTTAATATCTTCTTCACCACATAACCGACTTTGGAAAACAGTGTTTGTCTACAAGGTGATATAAAACGTTTAAACTCACAGACACCCTTTGCTCCTATGCAAAAGCTCATGGATAATTCATTAACTTCCCATTTTTAGGGTGTTCTTTTTTTAAAAGCTTTAGTTTTTTTCTTAAAGCAACACTGAAGCATTTTCCTCAGAAGACTTCTCTCTGAGTACTCAAAATTATATGGGTGGATATTCACCAGGAGCTGTAGTGATAGGATGTTCTGTGTTACACAGAAATTCTGGTATCCACCTGTTTTGGTGCTTTGCCGCCTTTAGAGAGACTGAATGCTAGTGATTAATGACTCAAACTTTGGACCACCTGCAGTGACAGCCCAGGAGCTGTAACAGACTGAGCTATTGGTGCTGATGGGTCAATCAGCAGTGTGCTTTGTAACAATGTGCAGAGTGGACACCAGGCCTGGGGCTGCAGGTGTGCACATTTGACACCTCAGGCTACAAGATGGGTGTTAAACAAGGTGAGGAAAGGGGCAAACCCTGTAAGATGGGGTAGTGTTTCTTTTTTCTTACACAGATGATTCAGCTGTGATAAGTTCCTGGGACATTCACATTAAGCCTGAAGGTTCATCTCTTATTGATGTTCTGTTTAATATCTATCGATAATTTAGATGAGGAGATTCAGTCCATCATCAGCAAATTTGCAGATGACGCTAAGTTGGGAGGGAATGTCGATCAGCTGGAAGGCAGGAGGGCTCTGCAGAGGGACCTGGACAGACTGGAGAGTTGGGCTGATTCCAACGGGATGAGGTTCAACAAGGCCAAGTGCCGGGTCCTCCACTTTGGCCACAACAACCCCGTGCAGCGCTACAGGCTGGGGACAGAGTGGCTGGAGAGCAGCCAGGCAGAAAGGGACCTGGGAGTTTGGGTTGACGGGAAGCTGAACATGAGCCAGCAGTGTGCCCAGGTGGCCAAGAAGGCCAATGGCATCCTGGCCTGTTATCAGGAACAGTGTGGCCAGCAGGACCAGGGAAGTGATTCTTCCCCTGTACTCAGCGCTGGTGAGGCCACACCTGGAGTACTGTGTCCAGTTCTGGGTCCCTCAGCTCAGGAAGGATATTGAGGTGCTGGAGCAGGTCCAGAGAAGAGCAACAAGGCTGGTGAAGGGACTGAAGCTATGAGGAGAGGCTGAGGGAGCTGGGGTTGTTAGGACTGGAGAAGAGGAGGCTCAGGGGAGACGTCATCACTCTCTACAACTCCCTGAAAGGAGGTTGTAGCCAGGTGGAGGTTGGTCTCTTCTCCCAGGCAACCAGCAGTAGGACAAGAGGACATGATCTTAAGCTCTGCCAGGAGAGGTTTAGGTTGGATATTAGGAAGAAATTCTTTACAGAGAGGGTAATCAGACATTGGAATGGGCTGCCCAGGGAAGTGGTGGATTCTCCCTCCCTGGAGGTTTTTTAAGATGAGACTGGATGTGGCACTTAGTGCCATGGTCTAGTAACCACAGTGGTAGTGGATCAAGGGTTGGACTTGATGATCTTGGAGGTCCTTTCCAACCCAGCTGATTCTATGATTCTATGATGAGTCATAATGGACCATAATGAGCTCATAATGGACGTAAGAGAGAGCTGCAACATCTTAGAAAGTGTCAAAGACTCCTGAAGCATCCTGTGACTCACAGTATTACATCATCAAGCATAAAACTCCCCACTGCAGGGGAGGTACCAGAGGCCTTCCCATCTGAGCCTGAGTTTTGGGGCTTCCCAGATCACCCTGGACTTCTACCACCACCTCAGATCTGAACTGTGATCACCACTTCAACCAACAAACATGGAAATTGCAACAACTAAGTCTCATCACTGGATCTAACAGGTGTCTTACGGGTCCTTCCAGTTACCTGGGGGGTCTGCAGCCCTTCTCCGACTGCCTGTACCAGCACTGCAATCTCATTCCAGTGCTACACAAGTGTCTGCCGGTATTGAATCTCATCTATCCACTGTTTCCTGCCAGCACTGACTCTCCCACCGTTCTTCCTGTTTTTCAGGTGTGGGGGAGGGGAACCATGTGGAAGGGTGGCCTTCTGCTCTCTGTGCTGTGGCCACATGTGTTTTTTCCAGGTGGGGGAGGCCGGCTGCCATCTGATTTGGTCTGGTGGGCAGGGCTTGGGGAGTTTCTCCTCATTGGTTGGTTTAACCCAGTTTTATCAATATTGTTGTTAGCATTTCTTCTTGGTAAAGAGTTATTTTTTCACTTTCATCTGGGCATATTTAGTCTCTCTCTGCATTGGAGAAACCAGGGGTAGTGAATCCGAGGGAGGAAACTTTTGTCCAAGTTCTCTGCTCCTCCAAATTGTCTCAGACCAAGACATAGGACAAAGAGTAATCGGTTCAAACTAAAGAAGGGAAATTTAGGTTAAATATATGGAAAAAATTCTTCACTGTGGGGGTGGTGAGGCATTGGGACAGGTTGCCAGGGAGGTTATGGATGCCCCATCCCTGGCAGTGTTTAAGGCTAGGCTGGATGGGGCATAGAGCCATCTGGTCTGGTGGAAGGTGTCCCTGGCAGGGGGTTGGAACTAGATGATCTATAAAGTGCCTTCCAACCCAAACCATGCTATGATTCCATGATTCTATATGTAGGTGATAACAACAATATTTTTATTGATTTTTTTTTTAACAGAAGGTATATGGATTCTATTTCTTTTTGTGCATCACCAGTGACTGCCTGCCTGCCTGCCTCCCTCCTGAAGCAAGCTTTAAAACTAGACAATGGAGGACAAGTTTGCTACCTGTGAACCAGTAATAACAAACCCAGAAACTAATGATACTAATTTTAATAGAATTTTAGGTGTAGTTTTTTGGTTAAAAACAAACAAAACCAAAAAAAAAAACCCAAAGAAACAACTTGTCTGTTCAGCTTATCATGGAATATAAGGTAAGTTTTCTTAGAAATGCATCTCGTAGATGCTCACTAGTAAGATTTTGTTCAGATTGGTGTACCAGAGCTGCTACTTTGATCCCAAGCAGCTTTTGGATTGTACTTCTTGCTTGAGATGAATATGATGAGTCAATACTACAGCTCCCTGTGGTCGTAGTGTTCAGGTTCTGGCTTGAACTACATTCAGCTTCGTACAAAAATCTGCAGCTGGAGGTCCCCAGCTATGGACAGCAAATGAGTCAGCTTGCTGAAGTGCACAGGGAGTGAATGAAATCCAGTGAACTGATTCAGCATCTATAAATAAATACTGATGGCCTCGCTTAAGGCCTCCTCCTTAAGGAACAGTGGTACTGACAAGACATCGAGATAAGCTGATAAAAGAGGAAACAGCCCGAGTTTGAAAGCTCTTCCCTAACTCTGTTCATGGCTTTTGTGTCTTCCCCGAAGAGCCACCTACAGCCCACGCAGCTGCTTCGGGGCCTTTTATTGAGGCACCTGGGCAGAGGGGAGCGACAGCCACTGGCCACGTCAGGCATTTCCTGGCAGGTGTGTTGGGAACACGTCATTCTCCCATTCCTGTGTCAGCAGTGCCCAGGGAGGGCCGAGAAGGGTCTCCGGGCGGCCAAGGGCCATCCCTGGCTGCCGCCGGGGCCGTGGGGCCCGCCGGGGCAGCGGAGGGATGCGGGAGGAGCCGGGGGGGGGGCCCGAGGCACCACCGTGGGAAAGCGGTGCAGCTGGAAGGAGCGGGAAAGGGGCGTGGCGGGGCCCACTGGGATGCGGAGGGGGTGTGGAGGGGGTGGCTCAGGGATGGGCGTGGCGCGGGGGGGCTGCGAGAGTAAATGAGTTGCCTCTGTGCGCTCCAGCCCTAAGGGTGCTGGTGTTCAGTCTGCTGTCAGAAGAGCCTGGTTTTCTCCAATAGCTTTCGCTTTTTTATTTTCTTCCCTCCTCCTCCCCCAGCAGTAATGCCTTTTTTAATGAGTTTTTCCGTACCTATTATTTTGATGGAAATTGTCGAGCATGTACTTGCCAGGCTTACAGATAGAGAAAGAGCAAGGAGGCTTGGTGAAAGTGCAGCTGATCAAACACATTACCTTGAAAAGAGAGATATGTGATCTAGTACATGTGTAAATGTGTAACACAAACATGTACTAGTTTAAGTCTTCACTTTAGTGTTTGCACACCAGTCACTGCTGACTCCATTACCTGAGGTCTGTGAAACTACTCTGCTGTGTACTACAACAGTACACCAGGGGGTCATGATCAAATCAAGTCTCGAAAGGAAGGAATTAAGCAATGTAAATATCTTTTGAGACATGTGAGAGCTGTTCAGCATTCCCCTTCACAGAAAGCAAGGAGCGAGCAGGCAGGTGAGGTCTGTACTGGAAGATGAAGATGAACAGAGGGATGGTGTCTGACAATCTCAGAAAACCTGGACCTCTCAAATATCTACTTTGCTGATGTATGTGGGACACCTGGGGTAGGGACTGTCTTAGGAGTATCCTCAGCCCATCTTGGAGGTGAGGATGGTAATTTTGGGGGGAAGCGAAGCGTGTTGTGTGCTTTCCTTTTAGGGGGAAGTGAAGCGTGTTGTGTGGGAGAAGGTCTGTGGTGGCCTCCGTGGATATATGAAATGCAGCTCTGCCTGGGGGCAGATGGGGCAAGAGTCCTTGGCTCAGCAGGTGGCATTATCCAGGCCTGGTAGCTGGGGTACTGTTTTCCAAGAGGTGGTTAACTTGGATCTGCACTTGTCTGTTCAGCATCATATTTTCTTTCCTTAGATCTGTTATAAAATGACATTTTGCCAGTGACTAGAATGGCCATTCACATGCTGATGGAGAATTTACTGCTAAGCCTGTTAGACAATCATTGACATGGAGGCATACACTTTGGCAAGGATTTGGCATTAATTTGGTGGAGATTAATTTTTCCAGGCCCTCTGGAAAATGATTGTAGTGCAAGGGGCAACTTTATATCCATGATCTATTCACTCATTTTGAGATGGAGAAATTCTTATGCCACTTAAAGAACCCTTCCCAATACACTGCAAAGCTAGTAAAGATGAACTCGATTATTTCAATAAATGCCCCCCATTATGTTTTATGGACCAGCATTTCCCTTTCTGTAAGAATCTGGGATTTGTAGTTTGAATTTCTGTCATCCTACTGAAATAGCCACACTAGCTGTCCCAATATGATGTTATACCTGCCACCCCAAAGTAGTCAACAAACTACCTCTTTCTGCAGGTAAATACTACAGACAGAGCTGGGTCTATTCAAAATGGGTCAGTCCTCTCATTGCTGAGAGACTACATTTTCCTCTCTATACAGATTTCCTTCTGGGGGACCTCTGGCCTGGGCTCAGTCCTGATCAGATAGCTGCTATCTGATTTCTCTGTCCTGAGCGATTGTAACCTGTTGCAGCTTAAAACAGCTCAACACAGCTTTAAGGTGACAAGCAAGAATTTGTCATTCTAGTATATAAGGAATTTTGACTGGTATTTATAGTCAGTTTAACTATCCATCTTGGTGGGAAGTGAAGCATCTTATTTGTAACAGATACATCATAGTTCTGTGCACCTCAGTGCAACATTCTGTTTCCGTTTAAAGGACAGCAGGCTCCATATTTTGCAACCACAAAAGTATTACACAGTCTAATTGGAAGGGAAACTCATCCTTCCCAAACTGTTGATATAATCTCCTATACTTTACTTAGGAATAACAAGTATAAATACCATTACTTGGCATGTAATGAACTATTTGGAAAACTTTCCATCCAGGTTCACCTTGCCAGCTCCAAGTGTCCTTGACAAGGAAAAAGTCTTTATGGTAATTTCCAACAATTTGTGTTGCATAGCTTAGTTCTAGTTGTTTGTTAGACATCTAAAAAAGCAGTGGAGTTGCTAATTTTTAATTAAGTTGCCTCTTTGGGGGATTTTTTTTTATGAGTACCACAGACTGTACTTCTCACCTGCTGTTAATTTCTTGCCAGCTAGTCATGCACTGTATTTTCTTGTTCCTCCTACAAAAGCATCAACTTCATATGAAAGTCACAGAATCACAGAATGAGTCAGGTTGGAAAGGACCACAGTGGGTCATCTAATCCAACCTCCCTGCTCAAACAGGGTCATCCCAGAGCATATGGCACAGGATTGCATCCAAAAGGCTCTTGAATATCTCCACTGAGGGAGACTCCACAACCTCTCTGGGCAATTTGTTCCACTGTGTGGTCACCTGCACAAAGAAGTTCTTCCTCATGTTCAGGTGGAACTTTCTGTGCATCAGTTTCTGTCTGTTGCCTCTTGTCCTATTACTTGGCACCACCAAGAAGAGCCTGACTCCATTCTCTTGACACCCTCCCTTCAGATACTTATAGACATTGATGAGGTCCCTTCTCAGTTGACTCTTCTTGTGGATGAACAGGCCCAGCTCCCTCAGCCTTTCCACATAAGAGAGATGGTCTAGTCCCTTAAACATCTTTGTTGCCCTCTGCTGGACCTGCTCCAGGAGCTCCCTGTCTCTCTTGTACTGAGGAGCCCAGAACTGGACACAGCACTCCAGATGTGACCTCACTGGGACTGAGCACAGGGACAGGATCACCTCCCTCAACCTCCTGGCAAGGCTGTTCCTAATGCACCCCAGGATACCATTGGCCTTCTTGGCCACCAGGGCACACTGCTGGCTTATGGACACTTTGTTGTCCATCAGGACCCCCGGATCCTTCTCCAGAGATCTGCTTTCCAGCAGGTCATCTCCCAGCCTGTACTGGTGCACAGGGTTATTCTTCCCCGGGTGCAGTGCTAACTACTGACACTTTTACTTGAAACCTTTTCTTTCTCAAATATATTTTTTTACATGTAAATGGTACAAGTTTAACAAGTGTCACTGAAAGGTACATTTAAACACCCACTAATTTAAGAGCTGTAGCCTTTGCCTAGGGAATAGTGAGTAATAGCTGAAATCTCCTTATGCCTACAATAGGATAGCTGAGCAGCCTCTTCTTGAGCTAGTAGACAAAGTAGGGGAGGGGACAATAACACTACCGTTGCCTATCTTGTCCTGCGTAGACTATGATTCATCAGAAGAGCAGATTGCATACTGTAGGAGAGAGAGATGTGCAAACAGCTAATTTCTGAATCCTGGCAGACCTTAGCTGTGAACTAGATGCTAAATGATCAGTATTGCCAGGAGAGGGTATTTAAATGCTCAGGAAAATATTCTGTTGCATAGGTGTGTTTGCAGGCTTCCAAAGTTACATGGCAAATTAGCTGGAGTTTTGAAGATCTCAGTTTTGAGCACAGATGAATGAAGTGACAGTGAGCTGGAAATAGGGTGCTGGAAAAAACTATGTGGTAGTAACCTTTTTGTCATTCAGAGTCATTATGAGGATAAGCTAAATACTGCAAGGATCTAGTAATAAGAACCAGATAATGGCATCTTTTTTTGGTTTGGTTTTGTGGTGAGGTTTTTTAGTTGGTTATTTGTTTGTTTGTTTGTATTTGGGTTTTTGTTGGTTTTTTGGTTGTTTGTTTCCCCCCCCCCCATGAAAAACAATAGGAAAAATCCTGCTTGATTCAAATGGAACATGATTTTTCTGAGTCATTATTCTACCTGTATGATGTGAAAGGGGGAAAGATTCTTAACTCTATTACTCGTACTGCTGATCAAAGATGGATTGAAAACTAATTTCTTCTAAGGCCAAAGGAATCATCTTGTTCAGTGTTGAATAGGTGGGAAGGGAGAGGATGCTCCATAGGTGTGCAAGGGGTAGAGACTTCCCTGGCAGCAATAGGAAGAGGTGATAATGGCACCAGTTGCATTTGCATTTCTTTAACCTTCTCCTTGCTGGAAATTTTCCCTGACTTGATTTGTCATTTTGGTCTTGGCACTCAAAATGCAGAGCATCCT